TCAGGGTATTGTTTCTTTTTGAGGGAACTTTGGTAGTTTGCTTTTTTTTTTTTTTTAGGAGTTTATTCACTTCATCTAACTTATAGAACTTATGGACATAAATTTGGTCATAGTATTCCCTTATGAAAGCTTTTTAATGCCCCTAGGACAGAGGTTTCCAACCTTTTTCATCTCATGGTGCACATAAACTAATTACTAAAATTCTGTGGCACACCAACAATGTATTATACTTTTTGCCGATCTGACAAAAAAAATAGGTATAATTTTGATTGATTCACACCATACAGCTGTTGTTGGGTTGCCATTGTTTAATTTGACAGTCCTAAAGGAAAAGAGGCCCGTATCCCTGACTAAAATAGTTAGATATTGCATGTTTTAAAAATTCTTCTGGCACACCAGTTGACAATTGCTGCTCTAGGATCTGTAATGATGTACCCTTTTATTCCAGATATTTCTAGTTTGTCTTTTTTTCCAGTCTGATTATAGCTTTATTGATTTTATTAATCTTTTTAAAGAACCAGCTTTTGGTTTCATTGATTTTTGCAGGGGGGAAGGCTGGTTTTCAATTATTTGTGATCTATTACTGCCATCCTTCTGCTTGCTTTGTCTTTGATTTCTTAGTCCTTTTCTAGTTTTTTAAGGTGGATATTTAGATTATTGATTTGAATCTTTTCTTTTTCCAGTATAAGCATTTAATATTATAAATTTCCCTCTAAACTGTTTGTAGACCACAAATTACGATACTTCATTTGCATTTTTTTTAGGTACAAAATATTTTTTGGTTTCCCTTGTGTCATTTTATTCATGAGTTACTTAGAAGTTTGTTGTTTAATCCCCAGATATTTGGAAACTTTCCAGATATCCTCCTGTTACTGGTTTTTAACTAATATGCTTTCTGTGATCTCACTGCTTTCAAAGTTATAAAAGTTTGCTTTATGGCCCAGAATATGGACTATCTTAGTGAATGCTCTTTGTCAATTTTTAAAACAGTAGAATTTAGTAGGATTCCACTAATGTTAGGTAGACTATTCCATAAATGTCACTTAGATTAAGTCAGTCAGTGGTGTTCTTCAGGTACTCTTCATCCTTGCTGAATTTCCACCTACTTGTTCTATCAGTTATTGAGATAGGAGTATTGAAGTCTCCAAATATCATTGTGGATTTGTCTGTTTTTCATTTCAGCTCTGTCAGTTTTTGCTTCATGTATTTCAAATTCTCGACATAAGGTGAAGTTTTCTCACTTAGGACTCATGCCTTTTTGGAAAACTGATTCTTTTATCATGTTATGTCTCATGTTATTCCTTGTATAGTATTTCTTGTTCTGAAGTCTACTTTGTCTGATACTAATATGGCTACTCGAGCATTGTTTTCAAAGTGTTTGTAGATTATATCTTTTTCCCTTTAATCTGTGCCATTATATTTAAAGAATCTTTCCTACACACAGCATAAAGTTGGGTCTTGTTTTTAAGTTTGTTTTTACCATCTCTTAATTGGTATGTTTAGACCATTTATATTTACTATAATTATTGATATGGTTGAGTTTTTAGGTCTACCATTTAATCGTTTATTTTGTATTTGTCTTCTATGTTTTTATTCCCCTGTTCTCTCTTGCGCGCACCTTCTCTTGTCCTTCTTTTAAGTGTTTTAATCATTTTTAGTATTTCATTTTCATTTATTGTCCTTTTTGTTTGAATCTCCTGGTATTTTTAAATGGTTTCAGTATTATAAAAAGCATATCTAACCATAAACAGTCTACTTTTGTGTTTATATTTTGCCACTTTAATAGAATGTAGAGTCTTAACAATCATATAGTTTTCATATGTATTTCATCTACATACATGTAAAATGCCACAAGTCAGTGTTCAGATTTTTACTTTCAGTAGTCATACTTATTTTAAAGAACTTAAAAGGACAAAAACAGTCTGTTACGTTTACTCAGATATTTATTATTTCTATAGCTCTTCCTTTATTCCTGTAGTTCCAGATTTCCCTCTGGTATTATTTCTCTTCTGCCTAAAGAATCTTCCTTTAACATTTCTTCTAGACCAGGTCTATTGGCAATGAATGCTTTTAGTTTTCCCTTATCCGAGAATGCCTTTATTTCAACATTTCTGAAGGATATTTTTGCTGGATATAGAATTCTAGGTTGATTCTTAAGTTTCTCTTAACACTTTAAAGATAATGTTCCACTGTCCTCTGTCCTTATAGTCCCTGATGAGAAATCTCTAATTATTGGAGTTATTCTTATATATGGTATTTCATTTTTCTCTGACTGCTTCCAAGATTTTTTTCTTTATCTTTGGTTTTCAGTGGTATGATTATGTTATGTTTAGTCATGGTTTTTATTGAGTTTACCTTTTCTCTGGTTAGATGAGCTTCTTCGATCTGTAAATTCATCTCTTTCTCCAAATTTGGAAATTTTTAAGTCATCATTTTTTCCAAGTTTCACTGTGTCTATGTCTCTTCTTCTGGTACTCCAATGACACAAACGTTAGACTTTTTGCTGTTTCCCAACTGCCTTTAAGCCTCTGTTTATTTTCTGATTTTTACTCTCCACATGAGATTTCTGTCTTCAAGTTCACTAACTTTTCCTTTTGTCATATCCTTCCTGCTCTTGATTACATCCAGTGATTTTTTATTTAAAATAATTGTTTCTTCCATTCTAAAATTTCCATGTAGTTCTTTTTTTATGGTGGTATTTTTCTTATTTCAATAGGTGTACCTTTATCTCATGGAGCACCATTATAATAGTTGCTGTAAAGTATCTGTGGCTGATAATTCTGATATCCAGTTCATTTTGGTTGGCATCTGCTGATTGTTTTTCCATTCAGAATTGATCACATATTCCTGTTTCTTTGTAAGCCAAGTAGTTTTGGAGCTCAGACATTTTAAATATTGTGTTGTGAGAGTCTGAGTCCCATTAAAATTTTCTGGAGAATTTTTGATTTTTTAAAGTATACAATCTAGCATGGTAGATTCAGAACATAAGGTCTATTTTACCTTCTTCAGGTGATGATGTCAGTAAAGTTTCAAGGCCTTGGCTGTGATTCTTTAGGTCTGTTTTATGCAAATGAGATGTTACCAGGGCTTGTGTCTCTTTGTATACAGTAACCAGGATCCCCTCACTGCATTTCCTGAGTGGAGAGTGGGGTCCCCTTTTCCCAGTCCTCTCACCAGCTAAATGAGATTTCTTTCAAGTTTTTGCTGAATATGCCCTCTGCAAAGTTTCCTCTAATGGGGTTAATTTTAGGTCCAAGCCAAGAGTGAAAAGAGGGGAAAACAAAAGGAAATCACCTTCATATATGGCTGGCTTCTTCAGGTTTTGTTTCCCTATCTGCTTGCTGTTTTCTTACTTTTCAGAGTCCTTAGAATACCACTTTTCATATTTTGTTCAGAGTTTCTGGTTATAAGCTATAGTGGGCTTACTTTAGTTTGGTCACATTTTGTTTTCAATTGGCATTTAAAAATATAGAAATAGTCATTGTAAATATCTGTGGCTTAAGTAGATTGTGGCCACTATTATTTTCTGGTGGTAAAAGTTAGTTGATATTTAAAATACCAGATTTTCTAATTGAGGAAGCTTGTGACTTTAGACGAGATCGGGCATGTTCAGGGTGGTATGGCTGTAGACGGAGGCTTGTTACTTTAAAAAAAAAAATTATTATTTTCCATTACCATTTAGTCCCCTTCCAACCCCCCGCCTCCCTGCACTCACCACACTGTTGTCCAGGTCCATGAGTCCTTTTTCCTTTTTCGCTTGCTACTTTTAAATGTGGAAGAATGTAAAGCATCTATCTCTTTTAGACGAACAAAACAATGATCATTTTTATCTTTATTTTTCATTAAGCACAACTGATTAAAATACACACAGACACATAAGATACACATACCTTTGCAAAGAAAAAGTATTGTGAATGGCTTTGAAGTACTGATATCTATCTTGTTTTTGAAATTAGTAAAGAAAAATTTGAACTTTTAAAACTTGTGAAATATTTGCTTGAATTAGCTACCTCTTTGAAGAATGTAAGAAAGAATAATAAATTTTATCAGTACCTTAATTCAAATTATGAGTTATGTCTTATAAATTTATTTTGGCTTTTCCTGTGGAAAACAAGTGAAATTTGATTAACGTTTAGTGATTTCATTCACATAATGACATAAATTTAGTGATTTCAGTCATATAAAGATTAGTTCCTGCTTAAATCATTTAGGGAAGTGTGTTTAAGTGAATTTTATTTTTAAAAGATTTTTGATGTAAAAGATAAACATACTAGTTAATAAACATAATAAAGTTTGAAATGCCAATAAAGAAACTAGGAAATTGTTTATTTGTGTTCATTGTATGCCTTTATGATTTTATTGTATAAGGGTAATCTTAGAAGGAAATTTAATTTTTGCACAAAAGAAATTTTTAGAGTGGTTTGTGGCAGGTCTGTTTGTAAATTAAAGAGGCACATTGGACCGTAGGGTTGTATTCTTTATAGACTTTTTTAATCCAAAATGTCATTTAAGTAGGAACATAATTAACAATGAACATTTGAAATATCCTTCATCTTTATGTATAACAGGCAGTGTTTGGATCTTTGGTTCAAATTTAGACTCTACGTCCTTCTTCCATTAAACTCTGCATGAGGTTGGTGGCTTGAATTAAGGAGAGAATTGTGTTATAAAAATGGCAGATTTGGATTCATTTTGAAATGGTTTAACATTTATCTTTAGCGCCATGACTGGTGTGGCTCAGTGCCAACCTGCAAATCGCAGGGTCTCCGGTTTGATTTCCAGTCAGGGCACATGCCTGTATTGTGGGCCAGGTCCTGGGGATCATACGAGAGGCAACAGATCTATGACTCTCTTGCACATGGATGTTTCTCTCCCTCTTTTTCTCCTTCCCTTCCCCCCTCTCTAAAAATAAATAAAATTTAAAAATAATTTATCAGCTATTAGAGTTGGCCATTTTTATAATTTTTTAAAATTTACTTCCCTCTCTCCCTTTAAATTAGGTGCTCTGTGGATGTGTATAGTTTTAAATCCCCACTGCAAGTTGGAGCAGAAGGCCAGTTGGCTAAAACAGCTGAAAAAGTGGAACAGTGTTGATGTCTGTCCATGGGAAGATGGAAATCATGGCAGTGAATTACCCAACTTAACCAATGCTCTGCCTCAGGGGGCAAATGCCAGCCAAGGTGAGTCTGCAGTAAAATTGTACTCACTTCGTATCTGCTTAATTGTGCATATACATTTATAACAGTAACTTAAAATATATGTGGGAAAATAATTTTCCCCACTTCAGAACTTAACATAGCTCAAGGATTTTAATATGTTTTGGTTGTGTGAGAGAGAGAGAAAGAGAGTGAGAGAGAGAGAGAGTGTGTGTGTGTGAGAGAATTTTTACCTGAGACTGTTGTGTGCTTTTTTCATATTCTCAGAATACAGATGGATATAATATTTATATGTATTAGTATGGGTTATTTAAAATTATTTTATATCGAATTGCTTATTAACTATTTGATTTGAATATTTTTAATTTAATAGATCATGGAATAGGTTGGTCATATTTTATACAACAAAATGTTGAGAGACTTGAGCAGCTGTGTGTGTCTGTCTCTTTTGGTCAGTTCATATATAGGCTACCATGTAATTTAATCAGTTAAAAATTCTTAGTTTTAGAATGTAGCTAATAAACATTTTATGACTGGGCTGGAAGGGCATGGGGTACTGTTGGCATTTGGACTAGGAAAATACTTTATTGTGAAAGATTGTCTAGCATACTTATTCCTACCTACTGTAGGCTATTGGTGTCCTCCAGTCTTTAGGACAACTAAGAAATGCACAGACATTTCCAGACATCCTCTGAAGAGCCTGTCTCTCATTTCCATTCTGGGTGTTGCAGGGGCGGGGGGGGGGGTGGGGGGCGTGTTTTCAATTTTTCTCTCTATTTGCCCCACCATTTAGCTCCAGTGCCTCTCGTCTTTTTTTCTTTTTTAAATCTTCATTTGGCCTCACTCCAGTTACTGCAGTATTTCTCCTCTCTTCCAAAACCAAATCCTTAAACAGTTTGCAAATAAAATTTTCATTCACTAATTCATGTTACTGTTATTGAGAACAATTGAAAGACTTTAAAGTTGCGATAGATGCAAGGTGAGAGTTAAATGACGTTAGAAGGATCCAGAATGAAGATTTCCATTCTCTGTGTGCTAGCCCTGCATGGAGTCGATACTCCTGGAAGAAGCTGGACAGTGTGCTGAGTGTAAATGTGAGTTAGCATAGCCTTCTCAGTCTTGATAAAGAAAGAAAATTATATGTATCACTCCATAGGGACTTGTCCAATAAAAGAGAAGTTTTAGGACTTGAGAAAGATGATAGTCTGGCTCTGGGTTGTCTAGAGATATTTGCCTTGGGAATTCAGTATTTGACATCTGTCATGTCTTTAGTGCCCATGATGATTTTATTTAATAACTTTAAAGAAATTAAATGTACTGTTTATATCCCATATTCTTTTCCAGAAACTCAGAATTTTCAAGTTTAGCAATCAACATTTATTCTCTTCCACTGCTAGGAAAGGGTATGTCTACATCTACATAGGCAGTATCTTTAATCTTTTTTTTATATTTGGAGGATTTTCTGTATTTCACTCCCTACCTGGTTTTTGAAGCACCATTCTAACATTTTGCATTTTGCTTTCCATTTTATTACGTTGCCCTTGGTTAAACAGGAATATTCCATTGGCTTTAGAATACCCCCTGAACAGTGGTCTAGCTTCCAGATGAAACAGTTCATTTTATTTATGGTTTGGTCTAGGGGTATGAAGTCAGGACCTAGTTTCTGAGGACAATATTTATAGCTGTTGTGCCTAAAGGCACCAGGGCTCCTGCTTTTAGCATAATGTTCACATCCTCCAGAGGGGCTGACAGAAGAGAGTTGAGCAGGTTGGTAGGGGAGAGCCTGCTGTGGCCAGCAGAGCCCAGCAGCCGTGCCATTGCAGCTGGGTGTGGAGTGTACTTGGTACAGGCAGTGGGCGAATTGCATGTGTTGGTACATTGAAGTGAATGTGAAGGGCAAATCGGGTCCTGTCTTTGCTGAGATTAATTATTAGACTTCATTAACAACAACAGTAAGAACATTAGAATCTACACCCTTTGAAAAGGTAGTTTCTTTGACCTTTTCAAATGGACCACAATGATAGCCAATACTTATTTATTTTTATAAAAGACCTAACCTTTTTACCTTTCTGAGTTTCCCAAGTTTTCTTTAATGAGATGTATTAATATTCATATACTTTATTACAAATATATTTATCATTTTAAATTTTTTAAAAATATATTTATCATTTTAAAAACTTAGCTAAGAATTGGCTTCTCTATTTTCCCTCTCAGTTGCAAAAACCAAAACACCACAGGCATCTAAGATAAAAATTGATCATAATTTTGACACCTAACCAAACCAACTTTTTGTTTGTATATTTTTACTCATTGTGTACATATGTAATCTCTTTTTGTTTCCCATGTTATAGAGCTTTCTATCTTACATTTTCATTTAAATATTATTTTACTTGTATTTAGCTTTTTTTATTACACTTGGTTTTACTCTTCTCAACTGTTAAAAGCCTGGTGTGTGCCCTGTACCTTTGTCTATGCTCATACAATCAATACAAACACATCAGTAGTTGAGATTTTTATTTTTTTTTAATGGAATGCTACTCTACAGCTTGCTTTTATTATTGATACCATTTTGAGCCAAATCAACAAGTAGAACTCTCATTCTTTTAACACATGCATAATATTAAGTTGCTCCTCTAAAGTCTCCTTTTAGTTTTAAATTCTATTTCTTTGATTTGACCTAAACAAAGTAAATGAAATGGCAAAGCCACTTAAAAATGTGAGATTTGGACTTGGGAATATTTGATTGATTGACTATAAGAGGTGATGGAACCAGTTTCTTATTGAGTAGGAGTATATTTATTCTGCTCAGCAAAAGCCATGGTAGGTTCCAAAGACCCTTAAACTTAAGACCCACTCTTTCCATATGTAAGGTGTACAATTAAAACTACTGCTAGCAAGGAGTCTGGGCGAGGACCGTAATGCATGCCTCAGTATTTATGCCTCTCAAATTATGTCATTTATGCATTTTGAGATGTCTGCCATGTAAATACGGATATCTAAGTTGACCTGAGACAAAGTGTAGTGTCTTTCTGTATTAAAGACCTGTCAGAAGGCTGGAGCATAGCTGAAATAGCTGAATTTGAAGTGAGGATATCTGTGTTTTAGTCTTGGTTGCTGCTGCCTGGCTGTGTGGCCTTGGCAAGTCACTTCACTTCTCTTGATTTCAGTTCTGTCAGCAGAATAGGGGGATTGGGCTAGATGAGTCCTTGGAGCTCTTCTTCGCGATTGCTCTTTTTTGATTTTATGATTTCCTTTTGATTTTATGATTTTATGATGTCTGTACTTACAAAGCTCCAGTGACAGGAAAATGAAACATTATCGACCAAAGTAACTCCAGATTTTGCTTCTCATTGAAAAGCCTCAGAGCAGTGAGGGTGATGACTAAGTAAAGTGAGGGCGACCTAAGTACACATAAATAAAACCAGTTTGTTTCCCTGGTTTTCAGTTGAGGCTTACTAAGGCGTGTGCCGTAGTTGAAGGTAAGTCTGGGGTAGGGACACAAAGGGTGGGAGTGCAGGCAGAATTTGAACCACATCATTCAGAAAAACTGAATATTCCCAGGAATTGGGGTGACAATATCCTTTATTCCCCAAACATTTCTTTTCTCTGTCAGGTCCTGAAAGTTGAACCCTCTTCGGAGTGTATGCTTCTGCTCTTTTGTGATGCCCCGGCATATACTATGCTGGGGCCATGACACCAGTCATGGAACCTGCACAGGAGTCAGGAGGCAGCCTGTAGGGGCAAGGTAAGTGCGCTGGTTTGTTTTGTAGCTATGTTGTGTGGCTTTGTGAAATGTTAAATATATGCGTTTATGCCCTTTGGGATATAAAGTTGCATTTAAGTGTTATATCCCAAGAAGCATAATAGTTTTAATTGTGCAAAACCGCACAATATAGTTAAAAAATACAACCAAAAGCACAATCCTTCTGCATACCTTTAAAGGCTGATTGCATCTTCTGAAAGGTTCCATGGCTGGTGTCACATCTCTTGCATAGTGTTTGTGAGAGCTGTTGATCCCATCAGGGCAGCCCACCACAACACCTCTGAAGTGGGGAGCAGTGAGTGTTCACGTGATTTTTGTGCCTAATGCCTCCTTTGAGTGTATTTGGCATGGAAACTAGACTTGACAGTTCTTTTTTGCAGGATGTCTTTCCCCTTAGCTTTGATGGCTGCAGAGTGTATGTGTTTGATAAAATGGGTGAATGTGGCTCTTTGGGCTGACTTTCCTCCTAGTCCTAAGGACATGAGAGTATTCACTCTTCCCCCTTCTGCTTAGGGGGTGCAGGACAATGTGTGTGGGTGTGTTCGTGAACATCTGGCCACGGAGTGGCATGACTGATGTATTTACATGTGAATAATAGCTGACACGGCTTTCTGAATTGTGGAAAAAACAGATTCATCGAACAGGCCACATCGGACAGTGTTCACCCGAGCCATCGAGGCATGCGATCTCCACTGGCAGGATAGCCACTTGCAGCACATTATCAGCAGTGACCTATACACCAACTACTGTTACCATGACGACACTGAAAACTCCCTCTTTGACTCCCGCGGGTGGCCCCTCTGGCATGGTAAGTGGCCAAACCGGAAAGACATTTCCATGACTTACTTCTTTGTTTAGTTTCTATAGCATTATTGGAGGGGGAGGAGGAGAGCCGAGGGACTCAATGGGAGATGGATGAATGCTTGGCAATAGGAGCTGAGGTTTTCATTCAAACCCAAGTTCAGAAATGGTTTCGTGTGTCTTTTTAATAGTATTTTGGGAAAAACATCTTACTATTAAATCCTTTTTTTATGGATATAGCTGACAGTGGCAACTTTCCGCCCTTAACTTTCTGTTTCAGAACATGTTCCTACAGCCTGTGCAAGAGTGGACGCGTTACGTTCTCATGGGTACCCCAGAGAAGCACTGCGACTGGCAATAGCCATTGTTAACACGCTAAGACGACAGCAACAAAAACAGTTGGAAATGTTCCGAACTCAAAAAAAAGGTGAATGTGAAGGAGTTTGTTTCCATTGGAATGGGATTCTTGGTGATGACATCACTTGGTTTTGTGCTCTTCTGGGAGAGATGGCTTTTAAAATTGGAGGGGTGGGGATAGCTGTACTTTACACTCATTGGAAATATTTAATAGCTGATCTATGGGAAATCTTAGGTATTTTTTCTTGGTTGAATAGTATAAAAAATAAAAAAAGGAAATTTTTACGTGTCTTGGGGGAGAATTTTTCTTATTTTTGTTTGAGTAACTAGTATGTCTGAATTATCTGAAATGCAAGTTAGCCAAATATTGTATTTTGTGAACATGCATTTTAATCCTAACAGTAAGGGTTCTGAGGGGTAGAGTGCCTACATTTGAATCCTTGCACGCGGTCCTAGCGAGGAGACCTTGGGCAATGACCTGACCTCTCTGTGATTTAGATTCTTCATGTGTGGAATGGGGCTCAGTGGAGGACCTGTCGGAGTTGTTGAGATTAATAGTCCTGCAAAGTACTTAAAGCAGGGCCCGGCATAGTGTATAAGTACTCTCAGACTTTTTTCTTTTAATGATTTGTGCATAAGGACATGATATTTATTTAAAGTAGTCACAACAGAGAAATCCTTGGATTTTTTAAAATTCTACATATAACATTTGATGAACTGTCAAGTGACAGAACACGCTTAACTTCTCTTAATCTCAGTTTATTAATGTTTTAAGTTTTACATAGGCATTACTAAGTGATAGTAATTGCAAAGGGTTATATTATGGCCTGAGGCCCTGATCAGAAAAAGTAATGTATATGCTTTGTCTGGATAATTCATGCACTTCTTGTTCCTTCTTATAGATATAAATCTTTTTATGTTTCTTTGGCAGGATTGTGTTTACTCTGGAATTTTATTTTTTATTCAGAAAGATAGTTTTAGTTGCTGTGGTTTTTCCTTTTTATGTTTTTGTTTTTAATCCTTGGGTGATTATAACACACCCCACATAGGATACAGCTAAAAATTATCAAAAGTTGTTGAAACAGGCTAGAGGTTAGATCGAGTTTTTTGTATTTTTAATACCCTCTATATTGAAAGTATTGTAAATATTAACATCATCTATATAATGGAAGCAACTTTGAAAGGCACAGTTTGAACCAAAGAAAGGAGCTCAGATGGGATTGGACTATAACATCCCTGATAATCATTACTTTGTTCAGTTTTTCATGTTCTTCGTGTCATCACTAGTTACCAGATGTGTTTGCAAAATATGCTGCTTGGCCCTTTTTAAAATTTTTCTGAAATCCCCCTTCCCCTAAACATACATAATATGTGACCAAAAGGTATTTAATTCTGGAAAGTATAAAGGATAATAATACTCAGTGTAAGATAAAGAGTGAAGCACATTTTACACAATAAAAAGAGAACTAGCTCATGATTATATGATCTTTAAAAATCCTGTCATAACCTTTACTAAGAAATGTTTTTAAAAATGAGTTCAGTAAAAATGTTGCAATATCTAAGAAATGCAAAGTGTAAAAAGGCAGTTCGTGTAAATAAGTTAGAATATATGTTAAATTAGACTCCCCTGGTTATCTTTGAGGCCACTTTTAGATACATTTCTCTTTTGGGAGCAGTGAAAACCTTTACTTTAGACTATTCGTAAGTATTATATTACTGGGATTATATATCTATACTTGTATCTTTCCCTACTTTTTTTTCCTGTCCGTATTTAAAGAATGTTTTTCATAGCTGTTAAAATTCCACATTGCCATAACAGTTACTTGCTACATGGACACAATTGGTAATGAATGATCTTATTTATTTTTAATACTATATGGCATGATGTATCAGCTTTCACATATAACATTATATTTCAGGTATACAACATAATGGTTTGATATTTACATATTTCAAAGTAATCACTGCAATAAGCCTAGTTAACATCCATCACTACATACAGTTACAAAATATTTTTTTCTTATGAGGGAGAAGTTTTAACATCTGTTCTCTTAGCAATTTTCAAATATGCAATACAATATTATTCACTATAATCGCCATAGCCTCATGACTTACTTATTTGGTAACAGAAATTTTGTACCTTTTGATCGCCTTCACCTTTTTCGCCCATCTCTGTATTTCGGAGCTCATTTTTTTTAAATACTTCACATATAAGTGAGATCATACGCTATCTTTCTTTCTCTTTCTGACTTACTTCACCAGTTCAATTTCTTGATTTTAAAAAAGTGCACTTTTTAATTTTATTTCTCCCATTCCTTTGTTTTTTCACTAATTTTTGTGTGGAAAAAGAAGAGGATATAGAAGAAATACTTTACAAAGAGAAAATGCTTTGTCAGTTTATCCTTACAAAGAGAAAATGCTTTGTCAGTTTATCCTTAGTTTCCATTGACAGATTTTATTTGTATAAGCACACCACTTCCCTTCAACATATATATAAATATTTATATATATTTATAATATATAAAAATATATTTTATATATTATATATATTTATAATATATATAATATATAAAATATATATAAATATTTTTTTTCCCCCTCTCTCTGTCAAACGTATATTTGGTTGTTCCCATGAGTAATGCTCATCTCTTTTTTTTTTAATACTGGTTATGTATATGAACACCCATGACAGAAACCAAAGGGAAAGGCCTTTTCAAGGAATCTAGGACCCAACTTTTATAAATTTTAGTACATTGTGGCAGGCCCCACTTTATTTTTATGTACTGATAGCTGATAGTCCAAAACCAGAAAACTTCTAAAGGAATATTGAATTCATGGAATGGCTCTTGTAGCACTTCACAAGCCGTTTTCTTTCTTGTATATTTTATATTGTATATAGATTTTATTATTTTTCCTTTAAGAAGGAGCTACTATCATTTATTACTTTAGTAAATGCTTAGATGGAAACTATTGCATTATTTACAATGGAATATGTCTTAAAATATTTGCAGCTTTTTTTCAGTATGTTTCATCCAAATTATATATTATCTTTTGCTATAGTTTGTTTGTGGCAAAGGTCCTCCCTTAAATGGCTACTGATCCATGATATAGAACGCTTTCATAAAGTGATAGGAAAGTAATTTAATAATATTCATGGGGGAGTCTAGGTCTGACCCAGGCTACTGCTGCCCTTTAGTCTCCAATTTAGAAGATCCAGTGAGTATTGACTCGGAGTGTATCTTCTTAATAGAGTTGTAGAGTTATCCAGTGGTGATTCTGAGGAGACTTTTTAGTCCTCTCTAATGTCACTCTTAGGAAGTGAGGGGAATTGTCCCTAGTTTCTCAAGTAAAAATTTGGAATTGACTTTCCTCATGTGACATAATTTAATAGTGTATGTTCCAATGTTAACCCAGTACCCTGGGTGCATGACTTAAGTAGATGTCTGGGAGCTGTTCTAGGAGGTTAGTACCATGTATATTGATTTACAGGTGAATTTTTAAAAGTCAAAATAGTTTACAAGTTGGGGCATATATATACCTTTGTTTTAAAATCAAACTCAGTGTTAGTTTGTCAGTGTTTTGCTATTAAATGGTAAGGCCTCTCTTCCCTTTACTTCTTTCCATCTCTCAATTTCCTTTTCTTACACAGAGCTACCCCATAAAAGCATAACCTCGATAACCAATCTGGAGGGCTGGGTCGGACACCCGCTGGACCCTGTGGGCACTCTTTTCAGCAGCCTTATGGAAGCCTGCCGCATGGATGATGAAAGCTTCCCTGGATTCTCTGACTTCACAGGTAAAACTGTTGACATTTGTCTCATGTGCCTTTTTTTCCCTAAACTCTGAATGACATGGTCATTATTTTTCTTCACTGTGTTTTATGAATCTATACGGTTTACAATACCTGGAGTTAGCAAGAGAGCAAGGAAATGGGCACTCTCACACTTCTCAGGCAGGCTTGGATTCAACGGTTGACAGCATGTGTAAAGAACCTTAAGGATATTTATTCTCTCTAGTCAGTGATTGTGCATCTAAGAATTTATCTGCATTTATGACTGTTTTCCAGCATAAAGATACTAAAAATGATGTGTGCCTCATGTGGGAGGGAGGAAGGACTGTCCCTTTGCTGCTCCCATGGCTTCTTCCTCTCCATGGGTTCTCCTGTGACGGTTGGTTGCCTTCATGGATTCTGGGTGACCCAAAACTCTATCAGGAGAGGGGAAAGTGTGACTATGAATGCGCTTTCCTTGTGAGTTCGATGGTTGAAGTTTGTTAAAATTTCCAATAGAAACAACAGAGACAAGAGAATCTTTAAAGAATCATTACTCTGGTGGTAACTGAATGACTCTTTGATAACAAAAAAGGATCTGGGTTACATGTGTTGTGTTTTCTACTGTTTTCATGATAAATTTTAACATTGTGATAAATGTATGCAAACTTTTTTTTAATGCCAAGGTTTTAAGACTTGGTAACTATTGCAGTCATCATATAATTTTACACTTGTTTAAGTAAAAATTTTCACAACTCTTAAATAGTCTTTAGTATCTCATCTTAGATTTATAGTTTTCTTTGGTGATTCATTTTCAATGGGAGAAAAATATTTGTAATATTCCATCTTTCAAAACATACACATTTAGTCATTCAAGGGCATTTAAAAAAAATGTACTGGAAAACTATATACTTATTTTCTGACCTTCTTGGAATTAAGCCAATAATTCATTTACGATACTGGGTAAAATAAATATTTGTACCTAAAATAGTAGTTTCTGAACTCCGATTTCTTTTATGACATTTTACAGAGAACATGGGACAATGCAAAGCTTTGGAATACCAGCATCTACCTGCACACAAATTCTTAGAAGAAGGGGAATCATATTTAACATTAGCTGTGGAAGTAGCCCTGATAGGGCTGGGACAGCAGCGTATCATGCCCGACGGGCTGTACACACAAGAGAAGGTTTGCCGGAATGAGGAGCAGCTCATTTCCAAGCTTCAGGAAATTGAATTGGATGACACACTGGTGAAAATTTTTCGCAAGCAAGCAGTCTTCCTATTAGAAGGTAGTTTAATAAAGAGGATTTCCACTTTGTCTAGCCAATTTTATTTAGGCACTAGACTTTATGTTGGGAGTACTGTTTGAATGTATTTATTATGGTAGTTATCTTGGTTGGTATGGTCAGTCAGTGTCATAGGTATGTTTATTACCTAGATATAGTATCACTTAATAAAAAATACAGATGTTTAGATTTATATCATTTGATTTAGGTGGTCATGTAGGACGACCTATTAGAAATGAGCCCCATTTAATGCCACAAGCTCTGAAAAGGACTTTTTATTTTGACTGTTGTTTCTGAGATAAATACAAGTTTGATATTTAGTGAGCTATTGTCGGTAGCCATATTCCTCTTTGCTTGATCATTTAAATCATAAAATGGAAATTGATTGGCATTCCTCTGAATTATTGGCTGTTACATAACGTCTGGGTTTTGAACCTGTCATTTGCACATGCTAACAAAGGACTGAAAGCTGCAGGAGTGAATTTTCGTTATTTCAGAGAAATCATTAGATATATTCAGCAAGTTAAAATTTCATAACCTCTCTAAGGCAAAGCCTAATTTTCTTCTTTTTATAAGGTTAAGTGCTAAAGGGCCGAACAGATTCTGGCTGGCATGTTTATTAAAATTTTTTTCTTTCTCAAAAAGACGTAAGTGTAATTAGTAGTAGCCTAAGTTTTTGTGTATATTTAAGTGATGTCTAATTGATGACATTCTATCAAATACCTGTTATTATGGAGCTCTCTTTGATTGATAGGCTTATGAAGTATGGTACCTTCATCTTATATTCAGAACTGTTCTATATGGGGAAAGGATTTAGAGAAAATAGCATTTCAAAACCTCTTTTTTTAAGTGTATTTTATTGATTATGCTATGGCAGTTGTCGCAATTTTTCTATCTTTGGCCCCCTCTGCCCAGTATCCCCATTCCCTCCAGTAGTCTCCCCTTAGTTCATGTCTATGGATCATGCATTTAAGTTCCTTGGCTTCTCCATTTCCTATACTATTCTTAACCTCCTCCTGTCTATTTTGTACCACCAGTTATGCTTCTTATTCCCTGTACCTTTTTCCCCATTTTCCCCCTCCCCCTCCCTCTGATAACCCTCCATGTGATCTCCATTTCTGTGATTCTGTTCCTGTTCTAGTTGTTTGCTTAGTTTGTTTTTGTCTTTTAGATTCAGTTGTTTATAGTTGTGAGTTTATTGTCATTTTACTGTTCATAGTTTTGATCTTTTTCTTAGATAAGTCCTTTAACATTTCATACAATAAGGGCTTGGTGATGATGAACTCCTTCAGTTTTTCCTTATCTGGGAAGCACTTTATCTGCCCTTCCATTCTGAATGATAGCTTTGCTGGATAGAGTAATCTTGGATATAGGTCCTTGCCTTTCATGACTTTGAATACTTCTTTCCAGCCCTGTCTTGCGTGTAAGGTTTCTTTTGAGAAATCAGCTGATAGTCTTATGGGAACCCCTTTGTAAGTAACTCTCTTTTCCTCTTGCTGATTTTAATAAAGAGATTTCCCACTCTGTTTAGCCAATTTTATTTAGGCACTAAACTTTACGGCGGGAGTATTGTATGAATATATTTAATATGGTAGTTATCATGGTTGTTACAGTCAGTGAGTTTCATAGGCATGTTTATTACCTAAATATAGTATCACTTAGTAAAAAAATTCGTTATCTTTAATCTTGGGTAACTTAATTATAACATGTCTTGGTGTGTTTCTCCTTGAATCTAACTTCTTTGGGACTCTCTGAGCTTCCTGGACTTGCATGTCTATTTCCTTTGCCAGATTGGGAAAGTTCTGCATTATTTTTTCAAGTAAGTTTTCAATTTCTTTCTTTCCTTTTCTCCTTCTGGCACCCCATGATTTGGATGTTGGACATTTAAAGTTGTCCCAGAGGTTCCTAACCCTCTCCTCATTTTTTTTTTTTTTGAATTCTTATTTCTTCATTCTGTTCCTGTTGAATGTTTATTTCTTCCTTCTGTTCCAAATCATTGATTTGAGTCCTGGTTTTCTTCCCTTCGCTGTTGGTTCCCTGTATGTTTCCTTTGTATAAAATTTATATAATTTGTATAAATTTAAATACGTAGTATAGCCCTTACTTCTTCCTCTCAATACTCAATCATTCCTGTGAGCATCCTGATTATGAGTGTATTGAACTCTGCATCTGATAGGTTGGCTATATCTTCATTGCTTAATTAGTTCTTTTTCTGGAGTTTTGATCTTTTCTCTCATTTGGGCTATATTTCTTTGTCTCAGCACGCCTGTTACATTATAAGGGGTAGAACCTTAGGTATTTGCCAGGGTGGAGCAAACCACTTCGCTGCATTGTGGCACTGTGTGTGGGGGAGGGGTCAGAGAGGGAACAGTGCCACTTGTTCAGCTCTTGCCCTGCTTTCAGTCACTTCCCTCACTGCCCTCAGGCGAATTGCACTTTGCTGCTGCTGAATCCCGGGTGGGTGCGTTTGTGTACATTCTAGGACCCTGTGGATCCTTCTAATGGACTCTCCTGTGAGACTGGGAGTTTCCCCTGCCACCACAACCCCACAGGTTTTTACAGCCAGATATTTTGAGGCCTCATTTCCCCGCACTGGAACCCTGGGTTGCGCAGTCTGTCTCGCTCCCCATTAGTTCCTCCCAGTTTATCTACACACGAATGTGGGATCACCTGGTCTGCCAGCCACTGCCTTGCCTTGAGTCCTCTCTGCCCTTGGCTGCCCGTCCTTGCCTCTCCTGCTGGTCTGGATGAATGTTTCTTCTTTAACTCCTTGGTTGTGGGACTTCCATACAGGTGGATTTTTCTGGCAGTTCTGGTTGTTTTTTGTTTTTAAATTGGTTGTTGTCCTTTTTTTGGTTGTGTGAGGAAGTGAAGCATATCTACCTACACCTCCGTCTTGGCCAGAAGTCCTCAAAACCTTTTTTTATGTGTCCAAAGCTAGAGATCTGTTTGAAAGAAAATACTTTCATGTCTATGGCCATACCACCCTGAATGTGCCCAGTCTCATCTGAAAGAAAATACTTTCACTAAATACATTATACATTTATATGTTTTATTTATATCTTTAAAGATTTATTTATTTTTAGAGAGGGGAAAGGAGGGAGAAAGAGGAGAGAAACATCAATGTGTGGTTGCCTCTTGCGCGCCTCCTATTGGGGACCTAGCCCACAATCCAGACATGTGCCCTGACTGGGAATTGAACTACTGACCCTTTGGTTTGCAGGCTGGAACTCGATCCACTGAGCCACCCCAGCCAGGGCTATATTTATATGTTTCAGAAATGCATTTTTTAAAGTATTTATTTTTAGAGAGAGGGTACAGGAGGGAGAAAGAGAAGGAGAGAAAATGTGATAGAGAAACATTCATCCGTTGATTCTCATACGCTCCCTGACCAGGGACGGAGCCCACAACCCAGGCGTGTGCCCTGATGGGGAATAAAACTGGTGACCCTTTACTTTGTGGGGCAATGCCCAATCAACTGAGCCACACCAGGCAGGGCAAGAAATGCATTTTAAAGGGAAAATGTATTGAATAGCATGCCTAAATTTATTAAAATTCCTATTATTTTTTGAGGCACTTGCCTAATTTTTTTTCTTTACGTAAAAGCCTATCTCAGCAAATCTTAAGTGATCTTGATTCTTTCATTACTGTTTTCTTTCACTTTCCTCTCATTTCTTTTGAGATAATCAAAATCATCAGCCACAAGCTTTTTTTATGTTGTCACTGCCTCTTAGTAACTGAGTTTTGGTTTTCATTATATTGAAAGATAGGAAGAGGGTTGTGTGCTTTTCAATGCTTATGGTGTCTGTTATCTTTTTATCATTTACTTTTTAAAATGTTCTTCATGTTCATTACTCATGAATAATGTTTAACTGTCTTGTCTTTGATTAGTTCATACCTCCCCATTAAACTTTTTTGTAAGAACTGTGCCTGATAAAGAGTGTTGTTGACTCATCCCAGCTTTCCCTCCTTTCCTGACCTTGCTAAGCCCGTGGAGTGTGGGTAGTGCAGGACAGGAAATGGTCCAAGAGGGAAGCCAAGGGACAGTTCCTGTAAATTCCAGAAGATAAAGCCCTTCACAACTGAGTTGACTGCACTGGGGCATCTAGTTCTTCATGCGTTTATACTCTGAGAATTTCAAGGGCAAAAATCACAGACTGAGGTATCTGAAAAAGAGGACGCAATAACCCTGTATTGTCACTAAGTGTTAATAACTTCTGGCCTCAATCTTGGCATGTCGAAAAAGCATTTCTGGGAAACTTAGTACCAAATTTCAGTCTTTCATTATTCAGTACACTGAGGTTCACGAATTACACTGATTATTAATCCACAAATAATCCACAAATAAAAAAAACTATGTTTTGCTTGTTGGGAGGTGTCATCGCAAGTATTGATTATGCATACTGGCTTTCCCTGCAGAGTAAAAAATAAAATAAAATTTAAAAAGGAGCTTGATGGTTTAAAGGAAACATTGGAATGAAATGGAAGAGCAGTGAAGAAAATCTATAAATTTGCCACATTTAGTCCTTAAGCAAAATAGAGTTAGCATCTTAATCTGCTGAGGCTGCCATAACAAAATACCTAGCCTGCATGGCTTAAACAATAGAAATTTATTTCTCACAGTTCTGGAGACTGAAAAGTACAAGGTCAGGTGCTGGCCAATTCAGTTTCTGGTGACGTCCCTCTTCTGGCTTAGAGATAGCTTCCTGAGAGGGGGATACATCTCAGGTGTCTCTTATAAAGGACACTAATCCTATTGGATCAGCTCCCCACCCTTTAACCTTCATTACTTTCATGAAGGCCCTTTCTGCAAATGCAGTCACATTGGGACTTAGGGCTTCAACATGTGGAATTGGGGTGGAAGATACAAACATTCAGTTTATAATAATAACTTATATAATTTGGCCTCGTTACATGAATTAAAGGTGGAGCTATAATGCTATTTCAACTGTTGAAGAATATCAGGTCATTAAAACATTTTAAAATATCTTAAAGATAAGAAAAAGATTAATAGATTTGGTAAAATTAGAAATCTAGGGTGGATTTTAGTTTGCTTAGGTAAAAAAGATAAGTTGTTTATTAAATGATTTTCCAAGTACTTAAATAATGAACAATTAAAAAATACTAACCAAAAATAAAACAATGAAATTTAAAAATGGCTTCTGTTAAAATGACCTGTAATATATAATGCTCCTACTCCACACCCAGTCCAGTAATTCCTCTCACCATTTCTTCTGAACTGCATTTCTTGCATTCTAAACTCTTCACCAGACTGATTTTTCACATGGAAAACATGCATTATATCCTTCGAGCAGTAGTGTCATGGTTCATAATTGTGAAACAGATTTTACCCAGAGATGACATGGAAACTAATTTATTAAACACCTTACAGTAACTAAACCTCAAGGTGCGTAAGTGGAAAGTAGTTGAACTAACCGCTGTGGTTTCCTTTCAAAATTTATTTTAAAAGTCTGTTATCACCCTTCTTAGGGCAGCATTCAAAGAGTACACAGGGGAAGTCAGCTTTGCCACCGTCCTTGTCATAACTTACTAAGGAATGAATTTTGACAGCTTAAATGTAATTTCACTTTTAAGATTGGTCTTTTGGAGCCCAAAAAGTGGTAAATTTCCAGTTACTTTAATTTTGTTTTTCTTTTGCCTATGGTGAGTATCAAATGGGTAAACTTATCCTTTATTTATTAATCACTCAGAAAATCAATATTTATTCCCATTTATTAGAAACAACAATGTTTAAAGTCTTGTATTGGGATTTGTGATTCAGAAACCTCCCCCACCCATCAGAGCACTCTTTTCTGGAAACCCTGCTTGTCCGTACCCCTGAGACTTGATTGGGTCCAGGAGCAGGTTCCAAAGTTAAACTGCAGAGTCATCTGTGCACATGAAAATCCGGATGCTCAGATACACACATTGACTGAGGGTGTTTCCTGAATTCAGTGAGGTTTTATGCATCGGAAGGTTTCTTTCCCTGAAGCAGTTATAATGTGAAAAGGCTCTGTCCCTTAGTTCTGAGATTCTTGTTTTAACGGTGCTACAGTTAGGGGATTGTTATTGAAGTAAAGTTGATATTGGATACTATACCCTGTAGCAACATTTTTTTACTAAGAATTTGTATTCCATTCTACTGTGTCACTTAGGTTACATTAACTAGATTAGCTTGTATATGTTATAACTTTACATAACAATTTTAAGATCTACATTACAAGAAGTCTTAGTTCCTTTTTTAGGAATTAAAAATGTGTATGCTCTCTTCCCACAGCCGGACCATATAGTGGTTTAGGCGAAATAATCCATCGGGAGAGCGTTCCAATGCACACATTTGCCAAGTATCTCTTCACCTCCCTCCTACCTCATGATGCTGAATTGGCATACAAAATTGCACTGAGAGCAATGCGGTACGTATTCACAGCCCAGCCGGGCAGACGCAATGCAAATTCCCCACTGGGACAAATGGCTGGTAACTGACTTCTTATTCATTCATGTTTCCTGTAGGCAGCAGAAAATCTAAAGAACCTATTTATTTATATATTTCTTGGATTGTCTAGTGGTTGGTTTGTTGACTTATTTGGCTCCTGTTTTAAAGTAAAGGAAGAATGGTATCCTTGACTGCTGTCATGTTCATGCTCATGGTGGCTTTTTCCTACATTTTCTTGAAGCTAGAATTTTGGAGGAGAGAACCATTTCAGGCCAACTTTAACCATATGGTAGCAACAGTTGAAATCTTCCTAAATAATGAGTTGTTTTGAAAAAATTAGAATTTTGAAACAGTGGTAAATAATAAGTATACTTAACTGCATGTAGTAATTGGGGGAGCCCTCGACACCTGCTGTGACTTCACGTGCCATCAGTAGTGTAGGGAAGCCATCAGATCGCCCGCTTACCCTTGGGTTCCAGCGGGGGGTGACTGAAGGTAGATCTCGTATCTAGCGTTGAAGGCCCCACAATTAGGGGTCTTCCAGCATCTGCCCACCTCAGCTCTGACTGCTTCCATTTCCTCTTCCGTCCCTCTTTTCAGTTATAACAACTAGAATATGTTATTTCTGCCACTGACCTTTCTATTTTCACTTTCCTTTTAAAAGTCAGTTCACAAAATTTTTATTTTTATCACAAATTTTTTCTTGGTGAATATTTTTTAGTGAATTCAAAATTGTATTTGTTAGTCTTATTTGTAGCTTATGAAAGGAATATCCACCTTTCTGACATGTTAACACATGTTAAACACTTCCATGTTACAGGGCAGATTAAACCCTGTTGTAGTCACCTAAAGATAAACGATGAACATACCTAGAAACTTGAGGTGCTGGAGAATAATAGTTTGATCCTGTGGAATCTTTTCATCAGAGATTATATGTCTGCAACCAGTATAGTGAATTCAAAAAACAAATTCCTGCCTTTTTGTGTGTGTAGTTTGTCTCTCTCAGAAGGTCTCATTTTTATGCAGTGATGGGGGTGTGTGTGTGTTCCTGTGTGTCAGTGTATTTTGAGGCCGACATCTTTTAATTTGACATGCTTTCCTTGGCAACATGAAATCTCATTTACCTGTCAGAGAAATCTTATGTTATCTCTTGTTTATTTTTAAAATACCAATAACTAAAGTAAAAACTAACATAAGCAAAAGTTCCCCGCCAAATTATTTTATACCACTTGGTTTGTATTTTAAAGCACAATTATAAGTAAGTTCCTCTTCCCACTTTTAGAAGGTGAAATAGAAATTGTCAGATGAAGAAAAATTCTCAGGTCAATACCTATTCAAATTTGAGAATTCTGCTCCAGTGTAAAGGGAAGGGTGCTAATGTTAGGATGCCACCTGATGCTGTTGCTGTGACCACCCTCAAGTTTAAGAGTAAAATAGCATAAGGTTTGTCTGTGAGTCTGGCTAATGTGAAGCTATCTGTCAGGTTGAAAGCCTTGCTTTTCTCACCCTCAGAAACTCCCTTATGTTTGCCCTTGGTTGTCGCCCACGCAGTTTTTACCCATGGGATACTAGCAGGACACAGGGGAATTGCTTTCCATCTTTTCTCTTCCACCTGCCATGACTCCCCCAGCCAAAGGCTTGCCGTGGGCGAAGGCATGACCCTAAGAGCATCTCAGGGCAGCAGGGGAACAGGAAGGAGGGACTTGCAGTTTACTTGCTACTTCGTCCTTGTGGAAGTAGGGGTGAAGGGCTGCAGGGGGGGGTTTCAGCACTCATTTTCTTATCTTTCCAAAGGTGTTGACTAGTTTTTGCTATAACACCTCTGGAAAGATCTGCCTGATAATTATAGGGACAGTCTGGATTTTTTTTTTTTTTAAGTTAAATAGCAACCCTGGCAAAATTCTTACTACTTAGTTGTCTACCTTGCCACCCTGTACTGCTGCCATCCCTGTCCATAGTAAAAAGGGAAAGAGAATGAGGCATTTGGCCTACCAGAGCAGTAACTGCTCTTGGGTGGGACCCCAAGGCCAGCCTTGCACCCTGACCCTGCTTGCTCCTCTTGACCCCCGGATCTCATTTCCCAGTCCTGACACTGGTGTACTTGAGCAAAGGCCAGTGTCTTGATGATTATAAAAGAATTACTGTAGTTATAGCTACTATACTAATCTCTCTGGTACTTACATTTGGAGATCGCTAAGCATATGCTTTGTTTTTAATCATCATTCTTTATTTGTCAACATAATCAAAGATTGAATGAAATGAGAAATCACAGTGAATTTATATAAGACGGGACAAATACTTGGATCATTTGCATTTATCATCTTCTGGTATGATCGATAGAACATTTTCTAACTACGGATTCCTGAAGCAATAAGGAACTTTTTAGAAAGTATGAATAATGGAAAGGAAGTAATTTTTGTTTTACTTATCCTTTTATTTTGTGTTTTAATAAGCTAAGCTTATGCATCTCAGCTGTCCACTGATCCCTGACTGTTAACAATCTCAGTCCTAGTATTCACTTCACTGTCAGTTTTCTGTTGGTTTTTATTTTTCAATGAGTGGTAAGATTTAAAAGTTTTAAAGCAGGTGTAAACTCAAGGCTGAGTTTCAAATGTCATTATTACATGTCTTAATTTCCTTGAATTTTGCCATTTTCTGAATAATGTTAAAGAAGGGAATTAGGTTTGGGTAATGAGCAGTTAAGGAGGTGACTTTGGCATCCAGACAGCAGAGAGTAGCTGTACCAGCTCTTCCTGCACCAAGGACCTGGGCATTTCTCCCAGCGCCTACCCACTCCTCTGGCTACTGGCCAGTCCCTGTGGCCAAAGTGATAGACAAGTAATAACTAGGAGCCACCTGCCCTGTCTCTTCTCATTACAGGTTACTAGTATTGGAATCTACTGCTCCAACGGGAGACCTTACCCGCCCACACCACATTGCGTCAGTTGTTCCCAACCGATACCCTCGTTGGTTCACTCTAAGCCACATAGAATCCCAGCAGTGTGAGCTGGCATCCACCATGCTAACTGCAGCCAAAGGTACCGGATTGTCCTGAGGCCTCATGATTATTTTGTTAGTTTGCCTTTTTTTAAGGGTCATGTTTGCTATCAAATTCTCAGTGGTGGTGCAAATATCGGGTTGTAGGGGATACTTTTCGTTAGATGTTAGCGTATGGGGCAAACAGGTGTTACTCATTTGAGCCTGGCATTTCCCTCATTTAACTGTGTCGTTAAACTTGCTGCTGGCAGAGTTCAGGTGTAGTTGCCATGCCGTGTAAGTGGTGGTCGAGACTCAGGAGCAGATTAAAAAGTTAGGTTACGTTTTGTTTTTTTTTTTTTCCTCTGTGAAATATTCACCAAAATACTTAAGTAGAAACCAGGAGAGCTATTTGTTATCTCCTGTTGGTTCTGGGTCGTACGTATTTTTAGTCATTGAGGGTGTGTCTCGGTGTTTCCTTTTTTGTGAAGCAGAGATTCATAGACATTGCAGTGACTCTGGGACACTTAGTAGTTACATCCGTGCCATCTGTGAGCATTTCTGTTAAATTAACTTGTGTTGTATGTTTTATTTTGTTTCCTTTTTTCCGTGTGTGTGTGGGGGGGGGGTATGGTTTATTTGTTTTACTTTGATTTGATTGGTTTTTCCTTGTTCATTGCAGGTGATGTTCGGAGGCTGGAAACAGTATTAGAATCCATTCAGAAAAACATTCACTCCTCATCCCACATCTTCAAGCTTGCCCAGGATGCATTTAAAATAGCAACACTCATGGACAGCTTGCCAGACATCACTCTGTTGAAAGTGTCTCTGGAGCTGGGCCTGCAGGTATGTTACTGGTGGTCTTTCCTGGGGCACCAGGACTGCTACATACAGGCGCCACCATAGGGTTGTTTCTGTTTGTTTATTTGGATTTTTTTAGTGCTAGTAAACAGTTTCATGCACACATCTATTAGACTTTCAGGAGAGCACTGAGGCAGGGACTGGGTTTATTACATTTAGAAGCTTGATTTTGTGTCTTTCAGATTAAAAAAACAAAAAACATTTTCTTAAGTATAGCCTTAATGTCACCATTTCTCCTTTACTGAATGGAGAAGAATTATTGCTCATATGAGACTTAAATGAAGCTATCATGTATAATAAAGATTTAGCTATTAGAGGTAAGTTTTTAAAGGAAGTATGAATTTTTATGGATGTTTGCATTTTTATAATAGGTGGGTGGTTCTAGTTTCTTTTTACAACCGAGAAAATTCCGTAAAGGAGGGGTGATTGGGCTAGCGTCCAGCATCAGTGTTCAGGCTGCTGAGACATTACCAAGGACATTTTCAGTTAGTTATGCAGATATATGTTTGCTTTCTACAGTCTCTGAAAAGATTACTTACTGTGTAAACCTGGAACTGAAAAGTTTATATTTTCATTTTTCTCGGGGAATATTTATATTTGTTTTTTTCTCCCCCATGAAAAACAAAGAAATTGTTATCCTCTAGTTTTCAGAAGTATGGGGAATAGAATGCCTGATTAGATGGTTAATCTGGTTTTCTAGTTGTGGTTTCTCCTTACAGTCATTAACAAAGTTTAAAGAACTGAATTATAAGAAAATGCACTTACTGTGTATAATATGGTACAAGCAGAGGGTTATAGGAGATTTATTGCATTTAAGCAATAAAATGACATTTTAGAAGTTTATTTTTAAAAATAAATTTAGGTTACTAGGCTTGTTTTCATTTCTTTTGCCTCTTAAAAATATGATGCAAAAAAAAAACACATTAATACAAGTTTTCTGGTTATTTGGAATTCTGGCAGATTTTTTGGATAAATGGCAGGTTACTGAGAACTTAACTCTATGCCTGATTCCTTTTAGGACCTGGGAATGAGTCCCATAAGGTCTTTCAAAGTTTCAGGAGTTTCGTCCCTGATTTTCTGAATCTTAAAGAATGGGGGAAGCAGGAACAGAGGGTTATTTTATCTTGGGGTCTGTTATTAGAAAGTGAAAAACAAAATCAGATCGCCAGTGATGTCAAAGGTGATTTCTTCCCAGACAAGAGCAACCAGAGATTGGGGAAGAAAAACAAAAAACTAAAACAATTATTTTAAAATACCTCTTTGTAGCCTGGGTGGGTAGCTCAGTTGGTCAGAGTGTCATCCCAGCACACCAAGGTTGTGGGTTTAATCCCCAGTCAGGGCATGTACAAGAATCAACCAATGAATGCATAAATAAGTGGAACAACAATTGATGTTTCTCTGTTGCTCTTTCTCTTTCTCCCCGCCCCCCCGCCACGTTCTCGCTCCTTTCCTCTCTCAAATCAGTTTTTTAAAATTCCTAAAATAACTTCCTTGCCACCCAAGAACTTCTAATCAGACTTAGTTCAGAGGAGCCTCAGAAATCTAAAACCGCAGAACATAAAGCTGGGGAAGAGCGGAGGGCATGGACTATGCTGAATGCTTCTGTCCAGGCCTCTGATTTTGCAGATGAGAAAAGTGATTCAGTGAGTGACTTGCCCAGGATGCCGCATCTGATCAGTGGGCCCACCAGGAGGAGGAGTAGAATGTGGACGTCCAGCCTCAGTGGCTGGGACAGGCCCGCAAAGGGAACAGGGAACAAATCCAGCTCATATGCAGAGCTTGCTCTAAATGTGGCTCTCCGGCCTCCTGCTGGTAGGGAGTGTGCCTGTGGTTCATACCCTGGAATGACTCCTTTCATATTTCCATTGACTTGGGATAATCGTCCAAAACATTTTGTTAATCCTCTCTCTATAGGTTATGCGAATGACACTGTCAACCTTAAATTGGCGACGGCGGGAGATGGTCAGGTGGCTGGTGACATGTGCTACTGAAGTGGGTAGGTAAACCCTGGAGGAGGGACTTCGCCAGGCACCTCGTGTCCACTTTAACTCCTCCTGCACAGATACACGCGCAGCTTCGCCCTTGCACCTTGACGTCGCTGAGATCCTTGCCCCTTCCAGCAACCTGCAGGGGCTCCCTTCTTCCGACCCTTCCCTTGTACACACTGGGCACTGCTCCTCCTCCCAACCGCCAAGTATATAAGGCCCCAAGCCCTTTTTAATGGGATAAGTCAGCGAGCAAACACTTTTTATCCGTTTGTTCTGTCACTATTAAGGTGCTTTTAGTAACTTTTGGTGATAGTCAAGTTTACCATTTTATATTAAAGGGTACCAGAGTGAATCCTTGACTGATTGGAGCCCACCTTTGAAACTAACTTGAGACTGGATCAGTAGCTCAGCCTGTTTCAATGAACATAATATAAAGTTCCCTGGATGCTCTGAGTGTTTTCTTGGTCACCTTAGGGCACATGTCATGGTATCCAGCAGAGAGGACCACTGGGTGTGCTTTAGGTGACCTTTCAGGTGTGTGAGAAACTAGCTAACCATAAGGAGATCCCTAGTAGCTTGTGAGCCACGATTTGTGAGGCCCTTGAGCTACCTGCCTCTGCACCAGCAGTCAGGCCCAGAGAAAAGCCCGTTCCCAGCAGGAGTGCAGGCCCAAACAAGGTGGGGGCTGTTGAAATGCGATTGGTTCAGCTGTCTTTCTTTCTTCCTGTTTTGCATCAGAAAAGGATGCATACCTCCTGAGGAGACACCCCCCCCCCCAGTATTTAAATACCAACACGGCAGATACTGTAAAATCATTCTTGTTATTTTTCTCTCATTAATCTGTAATGGTTTGTTATTTTTGAAAATGGAGAGTTGGTCTCAACATAAAAATGACTTTTAGATTATTGATGTGATGCTGTAGTGAAACCACATGAAAATAACACCAGTTTAAGAACTGCCACACGGCTCCCCTTCCCCGGCACCAAGATACATGCCTGATTTCTCTCTGCAATTTAGTGCCTTCTCTTTTAAATCACTCGCCTTTAGGATTTCCCTACAGCTGAGGCATGTTGTGTCTGTGTACTTAAAATAGTTATTTTGAAGTCCTTGTCAGCATTTCCGACAGCTGAGTCATCTGTAGGTCTGCTTCTGTTGACTTTTTTCTCTTGAGTATGGGTCACATTTTCCTGCTTTCTTTGTGTATCTTAATCATTTTATGTCTTGTGTACTTCAAACCCACCCACAAACACACACACCGCATAAAAACTACCTATTTTGGTGAAGGTTGTAGTTTTCTGACTCAGATTCTGTAGTGGCTAACTGACAGGAAGCCCCAGTGAACTAGAACTCATTAGCAAAAAGTCATTGAAATGGCAAGTAGCACAGTGCAACCGAGAGAGTTAGTTCTGTATTTCTGTATTACAGGAAGTTCATGTTACTTTCAGGCACTGCTCTGAATAATGATATGTAATGACCTTACCCTACAAGGTTGCTCCCAGGCACATTACCTTACAGGATTTTCTGGCCCGGCTCACATCCTGTGCTGGTTATCCACGTAAGCATCGATTATAAAGTGAGAATAAACAAGACCTCCAGGCAGCATCCTTGTCGGTAACCGGGCTTCTCCGTCTGCCATTGCAGGTGTTTATGCCCTAGACAGCATCATGCAGAGCTGGTTTACCCTCTTCACTCCCACTGAGGCCACGAGTATCGTTGCAACCACGGTGATGTCCAACAGCACCATCGTCCGCCTCCATCTGGACTGCCATCAGCAGGAAAAGCTGGCGAGCAGTGCCCGAACACTCGCATTGCAGTGTGCCATGAAGGACCCTCAGAACTGTGCCCTCTCTGCGCTGACCCTGTGTGAAAAGGATCACATAGCTTTCGAGACGGCATACCAAATTGTTCTTGACGCTGCTACAACCGGCATGAGCTACACCCAGCTCTTTACAATAGCACGGTACATGGAGCACCGCGGATACCCCATGAGGGCCTACAAGCTGGCCACCCTGGCCATGACCCATCTCAACCTGAGCTACAATCAGGACACGCACCCTGCCATTAACGACGTTTTGTGGGCCTGTGCGCTCAGCCACTCCCTTGGTAAAAACGAACTTGCAGCTATAATACCTCTGGTGGTCAAGAGTGTTAAGTGTGCAACGGTACTGTCAGACATTTTGCGCAGGTGCACTCTGACCACTCCTGGCATGGTGGGACTTCATGGAAGGAGGAACTCTGGTAAGCTCATGTCACTGGACAAAGCGCCCTTGAGGCAACTCTTGGATGCCACGATTGGGGCCTACATCAACACAACGCACTCCCGACTCACACACATCAGCCCTCGGCACTATAGTGAGTTTATAGAGTTCCTCAGCAAGGCCCGAGAGACCTTCTTAATGGCGCATGACGGACACATTCAGTTTACACAATTTATTGACAACCTGAAACAAATCTACAAAGGCAAAAAGAAACTGATGATGTTGGTTCGGGAGAGGTTTGGTTGATAGAACTTGTATGAGTGGGGGTGGGGGTAGGGGTGGGAGGGATGGTTTGTTTTTACTTGAGCCTGCCTTTGTACCCTTTTTAACTTAAAGAACAGAGCCACACCGGTATTATATGTGTATAGTTATATTGCGTTTGCAGACTAAATTGTCATGTGAAAGTTTGTGTGTTCTTAATTTTCTTCCCTTTTTATTTTCTTTTATTATTTTTTCAATTCTTTTCTTTTTTTAATTTTGTATGAGAGAGAGGTTAAAAAGGTTTGGTTTACACTGAGTATATGTTGTCAAGTGGCGAAAGTCCACATAGCTCTCCTGTTTTCTGTATACGTTCACAGCCTCAAAAAAAAAATAATTGAAATGGCTTTAAAAACCAAACAAAACACCTCCATCCTGTGATAAGTACCTCGAATGGATTCAGCTTTACTTCTTTGTAACTCATCTTTACATTTTCAGCATATTTAAACAAACCAACAAAATGAAATACTAATAGTTAAAAGGCTGACCCACGTGGCTTTGCAGTGCTGTTCGTCCAGAAGCATGGCACACAATGCTTGTGCATGTGGAAACTTAGCGACTGTCAACATACATTCTCAGGGATTTATCAAAAAAATTAAAAAAAGAATGAGAGCATTTATTGTACTGTATATATATTATAGTATATGTCTGAATATTGAAAATATAACATTAACTAATTTATAAAAAAAATATTCTATGTAATGCAAAATACTTGAAGCTGCAGTAGCTTGGTTTTAAACAAAAACAACAAAAAAACTGAGAAAACCTATCAGAAGGACTAAAAGTGCGCCTTGCTTCAGGGTTGGCTCAGGTGGTGAACTTCATGCTGGGCATCTATGCAGAGCCACCTTTTGGATTGCATGGTTGGACTGAGATCTATTGGGAGAAATTATATATGTATATATATTTATACAACTTATGTATACATATATATATGTATACACACACCAGACACACACATACCACCAACAAAAACAACCACTACACCACACATGCTTGTAACCGGCACTAGAAGAAAGAGGGACATCAAATACACAGCCAGAGCAGCAAGCCTTAGCATTAAGAATATACAGTATGCCAGAACTGGGGTTCGTGCCTCCTAGCCTAGGAAACTTAAAAGAAATATCCTTTTGACACAAACGCAAAATGTTTTCCAAAACAATTGACATATGATACATAACGCCTTTGCAGTGAGCTAATAAGCTAACCTTTGTGCACAAATAACATTATATATATTATATGTCTATTCTGCATAGGTATTTTGACTTTGTGCAGGACAGAAAGTTGTGTAGGTATGACTGTTCTACTTTTCAGTTTTCTTTCTTTTTTTTTTTTAAATATATTTTATTTTCTCTAGAATTACTCAAAACAAAAGCAGCCTTCTATCTTGCCTTGTCTTAATGCTTTAAAATAACCAAACTGGAGATCTAACTACCAAACTGTTCATTATATTATTAAATACCAACTTTGGTTACAGTATAGTGTCTTTACTTTAGCTGATGGTTCTGTAACCTTGTGCTTTTTAAAGCAATTTTTATGTTTTGGTGCAAAAGTTGTCCAGTGTCTCTTGTTCCCTTCATTAGAGAACATGCTAGAGGTATGTTTGTAGGTATTTTTGTTTAGAACTATTTCATGCGCTCCATTTTATTTATTATAATAGGTAAAAAGAAAAAAAAAGGTTGTACTTCATCACCCATGTAAACATGCTCATGAAGTTGAAAGTAATTAAGATTTGATACACTGATATCAATTTATTTATGTAACTAAATCACTGTTTTATAAACTTGTTAATGATCAACAATTTTTGTTTTGATTAAAATTAGTTTTTTGAAAGTTGATTCTGCCTCCTTTATGGTATATCTCTTACTACACCTGAATTTGATGATTACAGACCCAGGTTTTCCTACACCTCCAAGTGTTTAACACTGTATTCATTCATCTAATAAATACTTAGGTGCTACTTTCTAGGCCCGGAGATACAATGGTGAACACAGCCAAGCACTGGAGCTCACTGTCTGCTGTGTGGACAAGACAGATATAAATCAGATAATCTCACAGATAAAAGATCAGACAGAATAGCCAGTTTCTTTTCAGTCTGTACCCTTCGTTATTCCTCCCTAATTAGTAAACTATAATTTAGGATGCATGGTACCTGATGTATTTAATAAATGCTAAGTTTACGAAAGGTTTTTTGGTGTATGGTTTAAAAGGAAATTGCATTATAAGGGTACATATTGTGCATACATTATAAGCATCTGTCCTGCCCCACCTTCATCAAAAATCTATATGCAAACAATGCAGTTGTGTTTTACTTTTGGGGTGTGGTAAACAGACCACAAAATTGATCATCTTAACAATTTTTAAGTGTACAGTTCAGTAGTGTTAAGTATATTTACATTGTTGAGAAACAGAGCTCCAAAACTTCCGCATCTTGCAGAACTCAGTATCCATTAAACAGACGCCCTTTGTGCCCTTCCCCCAAGCCCTGGAAACCACCCTTCTACTTCCCATTTCTATGGATTGGATTTGAATTTGGATTTCTTCTATGAATTACTTTACAGACTTCATAAAATGAAGTATTTATCCTTTGTGACCAACTGATTTCACTTAGCAGGGTGTCCTCAAAGTCCATCCATGTTGTAATGTGACAGGATTTTCATTTCAAAGATGCAGAGTGTTCCCTTGTATGTATGTGCCATATTTTGTTTATTCACCCGTTGATGGACATTTGGGTTGCTTCCACCTCTTGGCTGTTGTGAATAGTGCTGCTGTGAACACGGATGTGCAGATACCTCTTCAGTATTCTCAATTCTTGTAGGTATACACCCAGAAATAATACAATTGTTTTTTTTTAAGGTTTTTCTTTATTTGCATAATATTTAATCCCTTGAAATATTTTTAAAATTATCTTTGGCATCTAGTCTTAACAGTAGATTTCAGATATCAAGAGGTTAAGTCAATAAACAGAAATTGAAAAAAAATGAGTCCATGATGACATTTTAAAGTCCCATTAATGCCAAGTAGAAATAAAAATCAAAACTACAAAATAATATGAGGGCTGATTCTCTTTTTTTTGCAAACTTTATAGTCTTAGTTTTCTGATAGTGCTGCCTGAGGGTAAGTACAAATTCATGTGGGTCCAGTAAAACCACTGGGACATTTTCGTAATGAAGTCGACTGCTAGCAAGTCTGGAGGCGTGGCCACAGGGAAAGAGCACAGGTGACCTGTGCTTGCCAGGAGTTAGACCTGGCCTGATGGGAAATTATTTTGTGTCCACTGACTGTCTTTGCAGAAAGATCTTACACTTATTTCAGACCTACAGAATAGAGGAGACCAAGCATAACAGACAAAGGAACTCATGTCACACTGAGTCACGAGAGTCACGAGACCCATGAACACGGGCTGTCAGAACAGCTTCATGTTCTGGTGTTACAGCTCATGTGGACATTTGGGAAGTAACATTTTTCACAACTGTTTGAACTTTTTTTGTATGTTTGAAATTTGGAGGAGAAGGGGGGAAGAAAATAAAAGGAGGAAGAGGACCCATTATTCCCTTATCTGACTTTTAAGCAACACACGATTCTCCAAAATGTGGAAAGTATTAAACTTTAGCCAATATTCTTGGACCACCATGATCTGCTTCTTGGTTAGGACTATGATCGAGTACATAAACTAATTTGACGTGTATGCATTTTCTTACCTTCCAATGGACCGGTGCTAGAAAAAAATCCTGAGTCTGATAAAATCTGAACAGCAGGAAAGAGGAATGGAAGACGTGACAAACTTGGGTAATGGAAAGGCAAGAGAATTATTTCTAGTTGGGAACTGGCCTGTAGAATTCTGCATTTCACTGCTCTTGACTGGTGATTGCATTTCAGACAAGACCATAGTTTCAGGGCGGAAATGAATGTGTCATGACTTTTAAATATTGAATAAAAATTATTAATTTTAGTTATTGTAGTCACAATATTACAATATAGTAGCAAAGGAGAACTGAGCTTTTTCTAAATGCTGAAAAAATTGTTAAGTAGCTGTTTCATTTAACCATTAATAAACAGAAGACAAAATGTAGTAAGAAACATTATCATTCAGTAATCTGACACATTATGAAATGTGGCTGAGGTAATATTTAAGAAGAACTGTTTTACACCAGTGTAAGGACCAATTCAAGCCAGCGTCAGTAAAATAGGTTGAAATGTGAGATACATTGGAAGGATTCTGAGTGGTTTGTTCAGCAAACATCTTTTGTATGCCTGACTACCACATGGTTGTAGGTGCTAAGAAGATAATGAACAGCAAATGCATATTCTCATGGAACATGTGTTCTAAGTGGGAGAAAAACAAATAATGTGTATTAAGGGAAACCAGGGGAAGGATGCTATTTTAGTCAGAATGGTGAGGGAAGACTCCTTTGATGTCAAACAGGAACAGATGCCTGAAGAAAGTGAAGGAGGGGGCTGGCCAGGCTGCTGTTGACAGATGTGTGTTCAAGGCAGAAAGAAGAGCAAGTGCAAAGTCCCCGAGATAGAAGCGTGGGCACGTGCTGCCCAGTCTCAGGTGAGCAAAGGGCCTGGGGCTGGGGCAGAATTGGGGAGGGGGGCGATGAAGGAGGCGGAGGCAAGGCTAAAGAGGAGGGGAGTTCAGTTGAATAATCTTTTTCCAGTTTTATTCCTATAGGGAATGGTAAAGATTTTTACTCTATGTTTGAAAGATCCAAAAGAGGAGTCATGAGGTGACTTACAAGTGAGATGAGAAGCCACCACCGGCTGCTCTGTGGTTAGGAGGGCAAGAGGGAAGCAAGGAGACAAATACGGAGGCTGTTAGGGTAATCTTGGCGAGCAACGATGGAGCTTGCTCCCTGTGGGGTGAGGGGAAATGGTGACAAATGGTGTGAGTCTGCGTACCTGGTGAGGTCGAGGCATTTCCTGATGTTATATCGGGTACGTGAGAAAGAGAAGCCTCAAAAGACACCAAATTTTTAAACTCG